TTAGAAAGGCCACTAAGAATCGTAATAAAAGCATTTAAAATAAATACCATACACAGTTGAGGAAACGTTGGTTTAAGTACCTGATATGAAGTGGTCGCTGCATAAGCGAAAACCTTTACTCTCGGGATCCCACAGTTTCATTTTAGCCCGGTCACTAGTGCGTTTATTACAATGATCCAACGTTTGCGGTGCTCCGTATCTTGGGGAATCTTGTAGATGGCTCATTCCTTATGTTGTCCGTGTCTGTTCTGCATCCTGGGGCACTACAGGAATCTACCATATTTCCCATTTGATTGAGTTTTCTGACAATAACAAATAGTCCAGCTGCAGGCTTCTGCCTGCCAATATGGCGCCATTTCAATTTGAACTGTTGCATGCCGGGAGAAGTGAAGTCAACTCCCGGAGCTCTATAGCATTGCATTGCCCTTTCTTTCTTTTTCATTAAAGGAAGACTAGGCCGTTTTGGGTTGCTCTTAGCATCCCCTAGGATTTGTAGAGCTGAAAGCAAAACATATCTCCTTGCTGTGCGTTCATCTTTTTATGGGCCATGATATACTTGCTGCTTACGGTAACTACACGAATGCATGTTTAAAATGGCTGCCATGCGTTACTTGAGTTGATTTGAAGTGTTGTTTGTGCACGTCACCCGAAATTGACGCGGCGCGTCTGAACACTGCAATATACAAGGTGGAGTTGACAAAATGTGCGAGACACAACCACCACAGTGGTTCTGTCTCTGGTTTAGAGGTTTTTGACACCATATACTATACCGCTACTATCTTTTTATCTTTCGTGATCTCAAAATGAACCAGTTAGTGAGCTCTTTTATTGACGCCATGTTTGTTTTGGTTGTACAAACCCGGCTCTTTATCCGGTCTGATTTCTCTAGTGCGCCCCCTGGTGGAACGCTCCACATGTACCGCAGTGCCGTGTAGTAGCAAGTATGTGAACAAAGACACAGTCAGCTTCCTGTGCCAACCCAGCAAGTATATTCCAGCTCTAACACCTTAATCCAACAGCTGAAATGTCTCCCCCGTTGCTACAAAATGATTCATCACTAAAATGAACAAATCAGCTGTGATCATTATCTAAAACATGCAGGAAGCATGCTGGAAGCAGAATGAAGCACCAGCTATGAAAGCTCAATTTTTTCTAAGTCCAACAATTCGGACCTGCAACTCTGAAGTTGCAAGTGGAATATTCTGACCACAGGGGGCGATAGGGGCTGGGTGGCCTTTCATTTACCCTGGAAAGGGTCATTTTAGCACATACTGGCTCAAGAAAATTATTTTAAAATATGAAAAATTTGTTAAGTATCTCCTTCAAAATGACAGGCCTATGCATTCAACACATTCAGCTCAAATTTGAGACACAAACATTTCAGAAAAAAGACAAAATTTTGAACAGTCATATGGTTTAAATTTTGTTTTAGATTGTCAAAACTGTTTAATTTGCCTGTTGATGTTTCACCAAAAATATCTAAAAAAATGGGATTTATACTTTTTTATGTGAACGGTGGTTCTTAGTGGCATACATATTTAAAACTGTGATTTGGAAAAATAAATTACCTAATACAACTCTATAATGCTGTTGATATTTCCAGAGTGGTGGCCATAGCATCAAAAGAGCCACTGTGACAGGATGTTTTTTCCCTAAATTCAGCTTTGTAATTTAAATATTAGTTTCTTGTAAAAAAAAAAAAAAATTAATAAACAAATAATGCTGGTTTACTTTAACTCTTCTGTTTCATTTCCCAAGCAGCTTTTGCAGTCAAGGCTTTTGGGAATCTTCCATAGTCCAAGTTACCCAAATAACAGTGAACTTTCCCGCTGGAAGAGGCCCGAATGCCTCACCGACTCATGCTTCCTCTCACACAAATGTTTACCTCATCATTTACCCCCACAACAACCACCTGATTGTACGCCTCCTGCGTCCACTCTGACATTTCAGTGTTCCCTCTTTGCTTTGCTAATTGGAGAACTTTGGTGCTTTTTATGTCTGAACTCTTGGAAAGCAGCCATGCTCTAGTTCATCCTCATTAAAACTCATTTTCTCTTAGGTGATGTCATAGTACTGTAAGTCAGAGCCAAATATGGTCAGAGGATGCAGGCGAGATGACGTAGGAGCACAGTGATGGTATTTTAAAACTTGTTGTGAGAAATCATTTTTAGAATTTGAGTTATTTTCGGTTTTGCCCCGATGAAAAACGTCTCTATTCTAGCTGCAGCTCGACAATGTTGTTACATAACAACACTGAGGAGTCAGAAATATCCACATCAGGATGGGTAATAAAAAACAAACTGGTACCACTTTATAACAAGGCTCTCTTATAAATGGATAGTTTATGGATAGGCTAACTTATTAATCTGTAACACTTTATAAATAATTTATAAGTGTTTATTTTACATTAATTAGTCATAAACAGACTGAACTGACTGGTTTTTGCCTTATTATGAGGTGTGAAACTGACATTTATAAATATGTATTGATCATCAATGTGTTTTACACCAAGTGAGCTTTTGTTCTAGTCACCAGGTTTGTGCTCTGAGTGAGCTTTTGTTCTCCTTTTTTTATTTTTATTTTTTGGCTCGCTGCCTTTTGGAATTATTTTTGTTCATCCTACAAATAAAGGATTTTTACTTTATACCAACTCCTGCCTCTTGTCGTCTGGGTAATCTGCATTTTGGGTCCTAACCATCCCCTCAACGTGACACTATCACAGATAAAGTACAATATTATGAGATAAAATGTGTTTACAAATGCTCCTTGTACTTACAAGGAAGCCAGAAATGTTCAACTCTGGATGAAATTCTGTTTGCATGAGTCATTTTATCAACAAATGCAGAAACGGAGGAAACAATGAGCTAATGTTTCAATTTCATAACAGAACATTACTTGTCAACATGAAATCATAGCTTTACTACCTGCTGACACCAGAGGTTACAACGTCCCTGCTTCTGGATGTAATCCCAGTGACAAGCCCAGACAGCAGCCAGGATGACTCAGATCAGGGGGTTGCACGCGTTGGTGATGGGGTGTAACAGCTTGGTAACCAGGTACTGCTTGGTAACCAGGCGTGACACTCGAGCATAAGAAAATAGCTGCGATGCCTGCAGCAACAACTGACCGCAGCTCTTCTTGAGTTTGGGTCGTGTTTTCTCTGCTAGGCATATTTCACAGATTGTGAACCACAGAGGAATTTGTCCAAACGAGTCCAGACAGGATCTGAATATCTACAAAGTCTGTGGCACCAAAGACACACATAATGAATGGCTTAAACTGAAACTAGAGAAGCAATTAAAGCCCACTCATCGGGGAGTAGCAGGCAAACATTCTTAATGTTACAATTCAAGAATGTTAAGGTGTGTTTCAGTGAAAGGGAAATAGTTATAGCAAATGATGCTTTATTAATCTTCACATCACCATAAATTTCACATGACTTGGTTATTTAGGACTTAAGTGGTTATATGCAGTGGATATTAGCTTAGAGCTAGCTATTGTTGCCCCTCTTGGTGGAGTACCGTGATAAGTCTGTTGGAGCTACCACACAATGTAAAATCTGAGTCAGTGTAAAGGTTATAAAATAGCGTTTGAATGAACTGCCATAACTCATTTTTTAAATCAGAATTCATCTCTGTTTCTTCTAACTGAGGTTGTTCAAAGTGCTCTCCATAACAGCTATAACACCTGAGTTTTTCTGGATCCTGAAAGGGTTTTGATGTCATCGTTCACATTATGCTCACTCTATCGCTCTATCGACATTGTAAGAGTTGATGCAGAACCAAACACATCAGCTCATTGTTTACTTTCATAAAAGCAAATTTCACATTTGTTCAGATGTTTAACCTGAATAAAAAGGGCATATTTTCTTTGTTTGTTTTTTGTTTGTTTGTTTTCTTTTCATTTGGAGCACATGGGTTATAAAATAATGTAAGTTTATAATAATATTAAAGTAACCATTTAAATGTTAAGCTAAAAATGCCAGTATGTAAAAATGGTTAACTTATTATTCCAACATTTGCATATTTTTTTTACTTTTTAGTTTAGCAATTTTCCATTTTATTTGAGTGCTTGTTTCAAACTAAAATATGGTCTATTATACGGTTGACCTGCATTTTGAAAGGTTGAAGCAGTGTTCACAGAAACGTAGCGGTTTCATAGTTACCTGTTAAGTGGCTCATTTTTCCCCACAGATTTCCATTTAATTTTATTGTTGTTGTTTTTTTACAAAACTGAGCACTTTCTCTTTTGTCTTTCCAGGATGGCCTCCACCATTAAAACACCTTGTTTCAGTTCTAATGTTTTAGGTAACAAAATGTCATGTTGTTTTTGCAGCACCTAAAAGCAACGCATTATATTTCAAACATCAAACTATTTTTTTCTGTCTCCACATTTCATTTAGCCACGTTTTAAAGTCTCGCTTTGATTTATTGGCCCAACACAGCAACTCCACGTTGTTTTCAGTGCATGTTGCGACATCTTTTGGCGGGTATGAGGACTTTCCAGTTACCTTGAGAATATAATACATTTTATTTGACTCACAAAGTACATAAATATGAATTTTATTCCTATTATTTTCAGTTTAATTGTGTTTTTTCTTCCCTTTCTTTTCCAATGTCATGATGTTGATTTTAAAACAGTAAATGTGTATTTCTTTTTATTTATTTATGTATTTTTGGAGACTGGTAAAACGACATTGAAGTTAAAACTCACAATTCATGTAAAAATTAGCAATAAAGAACTCAAGTAAGTAGTTTTTATTGGCATTTCTACATTTGGAACATTTTAGAAACTGTCTAATTTTGTGTGAATTCTGTTCATGTTGGTAAAATGCAAAGTAAGAGCTGAAGTTATGGGGGAAAGTTTACTGAAAGAGTTAAAACATTGTGAATGCAAGTTGTCTTCAACCATAAACGTATTCACAAAGTGACTCTTGTTGTGGTGACCTATAGGGACGACCACCAGGTGACGCTATTTTCCTATCAACGTTGAGAGTCAAGAAAAGAAGTAGAAGAAAACCAATGCGCATGCGCCAGTAGATGCGAAAATGGCGGCACTCCTGGAGCAGGAGTTGGAGGCGTCAGAGATTTCAAAATTACCCAAAACAGTTCAAAGTAAACTAGAGAAAATTATTTCCGATCGTCTGTATGAAATCGATTCATTGAAAGCACAGCATGAACTGTACCGGGTTAATAGCGGTAAGTTGATTCGGTGGTGCTGAAGTAACCGAAATGTTTTTCAAGGGAGCAAAGTCAGTCAGTAGTTTATATATAAATACAATTATACAATTGCTGTTATTAGTAAACGAGTTGTGGTATTGTGCTTTAGGTGTAACTTTTTTTAAGACTGCCATCGAAAATCTGCTAGAGTCGTTAGCTAACTAGTGCTAGCACGTGCTAATTCCTAAAGCTAACAGAAAACGATACCTGTTATTCTTCAATGAATGTGAAACTAATTCAAGTTTATGGCGCCGTCTACTTTGAACAGAACAACAGTTTTTTGAGAAGGCTGAACAGCTCAGCCAGAGGCAAACAGAACTTTTGTCCCAAACACAAGAACTCCTCAAACTGAAAGAGGAGATCTCCAAACTCGGTAAGAACGACCATGTTGCCGTTTTAGCTGCATTTAAATCGGCTGCGCTGTTAAGAGTTATAATAATCGAGATTTGTCACACTGGTGCAGGTGAAGAGCTCAAAGATGCCCGGGAGAGGAATAGTGAGTTTGAGTCTGTGCAGGAGAGATTGTCATCGGAGCAGGTAATTCAGCAGCACTATAAAATAAACCAGATGTGTAACTGCTTGCTCTAGTCTGTTAGCGTCAACAAAAAATTAATCTAGAAACCAGTGTGATATTCATTCATGTTGTCTATGGTCACACATCTAAAATAAAATCAGTTCAGGCTAATTATAAGTTAATTAAATTATCGTCGCAGTTTACCACTTGATTTTTTGGGGAATCAAATAAACTTTTTACTTGTTTTTACCCAATGCCTTGTGTTCTTTTATTCTAAAACACTTGTGGTCCTTATCTTGAAATGTGCCAATGATACATCATCTATCTTCCTTTAAAAGGAAGATAAATTAAACTAATGAACTGATGAAACTAACATCGGTAAATCAGGGGTCTGATCATGTAAGCAGTGTAAGCCCATTTACGAGCTCCTCACCATGATCTTAACAAGCTGTGTATTTGTTCAGACTTTGCTCACAAAAGTCAAAGAAGACCTGGAGGCAGAAAAACTTGAACTTGTGCGAACGCTGGAGAGGAGGTCCTTGGAAGTGGAACATTTAAATGGTATGCAGACTAATTTCTACCTTTTTTATTAGTTTAGTCATTATAAATGATTATTTGGACATGTCGCTAATGTTGCTGTCATTGATTTGCCAGATGACTTGAGACAGCTCAATGATAAGTTAGTGGATGTCAGCACCTCTAAGATGGCTCTGCAGATGAAGTTAGATGAGCTTGAAGCTGCAGAAATCAACATTAAGGTGAGTTGTGTCATTTTTTTGTTTAAAAATCAGACTTAGGGCTGCTCAATTAATCAGATTTTAATCCCAATTACGATCTGAGTTTTGAACGGTTATAAAAACAAAACAAGCCGATTATTTGCTCCTTCCTCTTGTGCTGCCCCGAATTACAAATCAAGCGCTCATCCCACAGTGTTGCCAACTTAACGACTTTGTCACAATTTCCAACAGCTTTTCAAACCCCCTCTTGACTTTTTAAATCTTAAAAGTACCTAGCAAACACCTCAGGAACATCTCTGGTAACCCTTAGCTACTTTCTAGATAACTGTCGTCGACATTTCCTGCAGGTTAGAAAAACACTCCCCCTGCGCTCCGTACTGTCCTTCAGGACATTAGGAAAGGGAATGATGTAGTGATGTGTCGGTCGCAAAAGAAACGGCTCTCAGAGCCGGCTCCCTGTTGGATTAACCGGAGTGAGTGACACACACACACCGTACCTGCAGGCTCCTGAGCCGCTAAAAACAGCTAATTGTGTGTGTGCTGCGCGCTAAACACACGTGCAGCTTGCCCCTGATTGCTGTGAGACTGGGGTGGGGGGTTGCAGCAGCACACCTCTGATCACTGTGGTTGGGACAATTATTACATTAACTGATGGACCTGTAAATAAATAGTTTATAAATAAGGTAGAAATAGATAGAAATAAGTTCCTCACGCTGATGAATAATAATCAATCTCTGATACTGAGAGTTGCTTGTGCACTCTCCTACAGCACCTTGACAGGACTAAATAAATGTAATGCAACATTTTGTGAACATCACTAAACATTTTTTATTTATGTTATAAATGCCACTGTATAATTCTTGCTGTCAGTATTTGCAAGATATTGGTATTTGGGTCTGTACTGTACTAATTTGGGTGTTATTTTTGACAAGGTCACTCAAGAATGTTGGTCCGAAACTGTTTTTATCATTTAAGAAATATCTCCAAACTGCGAAGGTTGGTGTCAAAACATGAACTTGAAATGGTTCTCCATACCTTAATCTCCTCCTGTCCTGTCTAGATTACTGTAACACACTCTTCACATGTTTTAACAAAAAAAGCCCTTGATCGCCTTCAGCTGATCCAGAACTCTGCAGCGAGGCTCCTAACTCGAGCAAACAGAAGAGCACACATCACTCCTATTCTAATGTCTCTGCACTGGTTACCCGTTAACTTTAGAGTTCATTTTAGAATCCTGACTATAACTTTCAATGCTCTACGTGGTCAAGCTTCTCCCTATATTACTGAACTGATAAAGCCTCATGCTCCAACCCGAGTACTCAGGTCCACACACCAGAACCTTCTAGAAGTTCCAAAGACCAGATATAAAAGTAGAGGTGATCGCTCCTTCCAGACTGTTGCACCTCGACTCTGGAATGATCTTCCTTTATCCTTACGCAGAACAGCTAAAGACCCTTTTATGTAAAGCTGCTTTTACCTAAATCTTTTTCTTTTTTTAACTCAAATTTTTTATCTTTCATCTGTTTATGAAATTTTGTAATTTAATGACTTTATTTTTTCTGATGTTAATCTGATTCTGTTTTGAGAGCATTTTGATTTTATGATGTTAATCTACTTATGATTTTATGACTTTGTTTTATTTTGTTTCGATCTATGTGAAGCACTTTGTGATTCTATGTCTGTGATAAGTGGCTATATAAATAAAATTTACTTACTTACTTACTGGTTAGGCTTAAATGAGTTAAAACAAGGTTTATGGCCCTTGGGTCATAAACTATGAGCAAGTATACGGGTCTTTTTATACTAGAAATCAGGAGTTATTTTTGTGATTATCTTGTTTCTTTCTTTTTCTTATTTTTGTCCCGATTGTGCCCCGAGCAATTTTATGACCGAATAAAAACAAATAAAATCAGCATTAATTGAAAAATCGTCTTAAATTATCAAGATCTGAATTTCGGTGACAATAATCGTGATTATCGTTTTTGCATAATTGAGCAGCCCTAATCAGACGTTTTGGCTGTCTGCTCTGATTGAGCCTGATGACTAATTGTTTGCTTCTTCAGTACAAGGAGAGGCGTATGGAGCAAGAGAAGGAGCTGCTACACGGACAAATGACTTGGTTGAAAGAGGAGTTGAAGGCCAAGACCGAAGAACTGCTGTCTTTGTCTCGGAAGAAGGGGAATGAAATCCTGGAGCTAAAATACTCTCTGGAAAGTAAAGTGGACGAGGCAAGTTTCTCTTTTATAAACTTTTCTTTAATGTTAATCTTGGATTTTTCTGTTGTGTTGGCTCTCTGATCTGTGTTTCTTTAAAGACTGTTGGCATTTGTTTGTGTTGTGATGCTTTAAGGATCTTTGCTTTTATTTATTTATTTCTAATCTCTTTGTATGTCTTCCTTTATAGTTAAATAAACTCCGAGATCAAGTGACCAGTCTGAAGACTTCAAACGAGCAACTTCAGAAACAAAGCGAGGACATGATCAACAAACTGAAAGAAGTCTGTTAAGAGTTTATCTAGTTGTAAACAACATTAGTAGATACTCTTGTTGACATGTTATGCAACAATTCTGTCATTTTAGAATGATTTGGTTGTAGTAATGTAAATCATTAGTTAATGTGGTTTTTTTTTTTTTTTTTCATTTATTTTTTTTCTCAGGCTAAGGACCAACATGCTAGCATGGAGGAGAAGTTTCGAAATGAGCTGAATGCAAACATTAAGCTTTCTAATCTGTACAAGGTGTGGACAGGAAAAGAAACTGGTTTTGTTCTGTGTGTTTTACGAGCACGTTAGCTCTGAGCTAAACCTGCACTTTTGCCTCATTTTCTTCCTTTTTGTTTGTTTGCAGGAAGAAGCTGCGGACGCCGAAACAAAAAGCGAGGAGCTGAGTCGGGCGGTGGATGAACTGCAGAAACTGCTCAAAGATGCTGGTGAAGGTGCAATAACTCACACACACACACACACACACAGTATCAGTTATGAACATGAGTTACCATTCTAAAGTATCTAATTCTTTTGGGGGTTGCAGCCAACAAGTTTCTTGAAGAAAAGCTGCAGGAAACAAACAGTGCAACAGAAAAAACTGTTGGTGATTTGAAGGAAAGGATTCAGAGCCTCGAGAAAGAGCTGGACAACGCCAACGAACTGCTGTCAAGTGCAAAGATCAGGGGTCTGTTGTTCGATGTCCTCGTTCTGTTTATTTATTTTAGAGTTACGTGACAATAAAAATTCAGAATTAAATTCGGGGATGTGCTTTCTGTTTATGACCAGGCCCCGCTGGTACAGCTGTGTTGACAGAGGAGCAAATGACAACCATGTCTCCAACAGCAGCAGCTGTCTCCAAAATCAAACCTGGCATGAAACTGACTGAGGTGTGCAAAGCTCAGTTTTAACACTTAAATATCTGATTTCATTATAATAAATACCTTTTGTCTTAAATGAATTGCTGCATAAGTGCTGAAACTTGCAGTCTTTGATATGAAATGTGTGTTTTCAGCTGTACACGGCGTACCTGGAGAGCCAGGAGCAGCTGCAGCTGGAGCGACTGGAGAATAAACGAGTCAACAAATATTTAGATGACATTGTGCAGGAAGTTGAAGCCAAAGCCCCAGTCCTCAAACGGCAAAGGGATGAGTATGAGCGCATGCAGAAGTCTGTGTCCAGCCTTTCTGCCAAGCTGGAGCAGGCTGAGAAGGTGTGTAAAGGACGTGTGCATTTGTGAAATAAGATTTATTTATTTATTCTCCAAGTGCTTATTTGTGTGTTTTTTTTTTTTATGTGTAACTTGTGCAGATGTAATTAGTTAGCGCCGACTAGTTGGTAGATGCTGTAGGCTGCACTGGCATCTGCACTTGTTGAAAGTTTGTGTAATTGTTTGAATTTAAATGTTTGTTACAGGAGGTGCTTCGTCTGCAGAATGAAGCTGACGAGTCCAACAAGCGGGCGTCCCTCCTGGAACGGGACAACCAGCGGTTTGAACTCCAGCAGGCTGATTTGGCTCAACAGGTGGGTTTTCGCTCGCTCTCGTGCCGCCTTGATAAAACATTGAAATATTCATACTTGGGCTTTGCGATGGGACAAATTATTCGACCATCGGCGGTGGGCTGAGCTGTTCAACGGCCCTTTTTACTATGTGTTTACTTATTTATACATTTGCCCGTGGGTACATTTTTTTAATGACTCATGCAGTCATTAAATCTTTCCTGATTTTAAAACTTTGGCTGAAGTAGCGCTCGTTATTCAGCGCCCGCTACGAATCCAGTCACCAGTGTAGCAGCGGAGCATGGATTCATTCAGAACAGCAGCCTTGAGTCTGAGGCAAACATCCAGAACCTTAAAACCTCTTCAGCAAGCTCCCTAGAGATGTTTGATTATGCACAAGCTGGTGATCAGTTCGGATTTAAGCAGAGCAGAAGGAATGTGCGTTTGGAACGCAGCAAGTGCAATCTTTAAATTGCATTGTTTATATGTTACTGAGGTACTCTGTTCAGCTTGTTTGGACTAAATATTAATTAAAATTAATGGTATTATTGAAGGTTTATTTATTATTATTATTTTAAAAACAAAAGTGACAGAGAAATGGATCACGTGACCTCTGGCTGTGAGCAAATGCATCCTCCTCAGGGTGCTTCCAAATGCAGCAGTGATTAATTTCATTTCTACTCACTCATAAAATAAACCCATTGGCATATGTTCAGAATGAAAACATGACGATTGGAGGTTGGAAAAGTTGCACATATCGCCCAACCCTGATTCAAACCGTTTTCTATCCTCTGCTCTTCCTTCTAGGTTCGTGTGCTACTGATCGAGCTGGAAGAAGCTCGTGGAAACCACGTGCTTCATGAAGAGGATGTGAGCTCAGCTGATGTCAGCAGCACTTCAGAGGTCATCAGCAAACACCTAGTTACCTTTCGCAGCGTGGAGGAGCTTCAGACCCAAAACCAGCGACTTCTGGTGGCGCTCAGGGAGCTCGGTGATGCCCAAGAGAGAGAGGAGGCCGAGACCTCAGGAGTTAGGTCGGTGCAGGCTGGATAGAATGGTTTTTGTTTTTACCAGATGAAGCATTTCATGGCCTCAAAGATAAAAGTGTCTGCCGGGCTAATCCGAGTTTCATCTCAGGCGTGTGGAGCTGGAGCAAAGTTTGGAGAGACTCCAGGCTGATTTGGAGTCTCTGAAAGAGCAACGCAATCAGCAACTAAAGATGGCCGAGTCGCTCGTAAGGCAGAGGGACATGTACCGCGTGCTGCTGGCTCAGGCAACAGGAGTTGCTTTCTCCCACCAGGGTAACTGAGGTCAAAACTGCTGTGCGTGACAGGCAGCACGAACATTTGCATCTATACAACATAAGTCTGAATGAAGGTTCTGTGTTTTTAAGTGCTGATTTGATTCATGGTTTCTAACATAAATAACTTTCTTTGAAGAGAGATCAAAAAAGTCTCAATAGTTTCTGGCAAATATTAATTTTTAAGCGTGTATCTGACTGACGTGATTGCTTCTAGGCACACCGCCTGATGAGTTTTCTCTGACGACAACCCCTCGACGTTCACCAGCAGCCACCCCCACCACAGGAACTCCCACCGCACTCGTCTCTATGGCTGCTGAGTCCGCTGAGGTCATTGAGGCCAAAGCTGCTCTGCGACAGGTGATATTTGCAAAATCTGATATTTATTTATTTTTTATTTGAATTTTTACTTTCAAAACTCTTTGGCAGTGATGGGATATGATCAACATTCCCCAGACCTGATTTCCTTGTCTTTTCTGATGTTCTATTGCATTTCTCACCAACAAAAGGGCTGCATGGTGGCGCAGTGGTTAGCACTGTTGCCTCGCAGCACGAAGGTTGCAGGTTCAAAACTCGGCTGCGGCCTTTCTGCGTGGAGTTGCGTGTTCTCCCCATGCATGCGTGGGTTTCCTCCGGGTACTCCGGTTTCCCCCACAGATCACAACATGCCCTATATGTTATAAATTGTAAGTCGCTTTGGATAAAAGTGTCTGCTAAATAAATAAATAAACATAAACAAAAGATTAAAAGAATCTAACCTTTTCTGTTCATGGGTAATTAATGTCTGGATGACCTGTGGGAATGATGAGTTACATTGTTGTTCGCGGCAACCACCAGATGGCAGCATTCTTCCCGAACACTGCTTTTTGATTCAACAGTACTTTTTATAATCCTTGTAGAGAAAATATTTATTTTACAATAAAATCGTTTGAATAACACTTATTGGTGCAAACATTTATTATAAAACAATCCATTTCAAAGTGTTTCTAATAAAAGCATTGCATGAAAAAAATTCCATTATTTTATCAAAGTTTTGTTAGATATTTATTTCTCCAAACATCATTTAATACAAATCTCTGCATGTGTAGTTACAGGAAATGTTCTCTGCCTACAAGAAGGAGCGGCTGGAGAGTGAAAAATTGATGACTCAGCAGAACGAGAAGCTCCAGGAGCAGCTGTCTGACCTCCGCTCTCAGAATGCAAAGATATCAACCCAGCTGGAGTTTGCCTCCAAGAGGTGAATTACAAATTTGTTTTAATCTGCACTAAACAAAACCCAGGTGTAGGGCTGCATGATATTAGGAAACCATGCAATGTGCGATAACGGTGATTAATATTGTGACGACGATACGACTTGCAATAAATAACAACTTAACTCTAACAAAAAATTAAAAAAACATAGAAATTAAAAAAGGGCTAAAATATGGGAAAAGCTAAAATTGTGATCAAGAGATTTGGGGGGGGGGGGGACAAAAGGCTTTGTGCTGGCCTTCTAAATTAAGTGCCACCCGTCTTGGAGGTGAGGGTCTAACCGTTGAGAACCAACCCGATTGGCCAATTGGGTGAGGAGCTCTATTTGATTTGTCAAAAGCTTCCTGCTTCTGTTTGACTGATAGAATCGATATGTGCAGCAAACATTTGAGCTGACCATTCATTGCGATTTTTTTTTCTGTTCTTTGCGATATGCGTATTGCACATGCTTATATCGCGATGACGATACATTTGCGACGTATTGTGCAGCCCTACTCTGGTGGTAATATTTGGTTTGTAGACTCGTCTTTTCTCTGAATGCTGAGTAATCTCTGCACCTCCAGGTACGAGATGCTGCAGGACAACGTTGAAGGCTACAGGAAAGAGATTGCCTTGCTTAGAGAGAAAGAACAGAAGTCGATCGCCGCCATGCAGAAGTTGGAGCAGGCCGTTCACACTTTGAATGAAGATTTGAAAACCGCCAAGGAGAAACTCTCCATGGCTGAGGTTTAACTTTGACCCATTCTTCAGTTTTTAATAACTCAACACTTTGGTGAAACCCTGATAATCTAACTGATCTCGGATTTTAGGGTGATGCTGAGAACCTTCGCAAGGAGAGAGACATGCTAAAGCTGGTGGAATCCCGCTTGAAGCAGGAGAAGGAGACAATCCTGAGCCAAAACCAGAACCAGAACCTGCTACTGAGCAATCTTCAGACTATTCAGGTACTAGAAGAGTTACTTTTTAGACCCACAGGCACAAACCTGCACAAATAAAGCTGAAAATGGTGACTTTTCTCCTCGTTAGTCCACTCTTGAGCGTTCAGAGACTGAAACCCGTCAGTGTCTCAGCAGCCAGATAGAAAAGCAGGAACAGCTGATCTCCCAGCTGCAGAAAAAGCTCGAGGAAGAAGTGGAACAGCACCACCTGTTCAGCAGAAATCAGGAGGTGAGTCCTATTAAAGTGTGTGTGTGTGTGTGTGTGTGTGTGTGTGTGTGTGTGTGTGTGTGTGTGTGTGTGTGTGTGTGTGTGTGTGTTTTCAGACATTAATGAAGATGGGTGTAAAGCTTGGTTTATGCTTGACGCATTCACTTTCCTCTTGGTGATGCGGCTCGCGGCTGGGACGCGCTTCACAACTTGCAGCGTTTATGATTCATGCGGCTCGTCTCTGCAGTGAGCCAATATTCTCCCAAACTGAACGGGGCAGCATGGAGCTCTATGGCATGCATCCAACACTACACCATAGTAGAAGTAGAAATTACTGTTTACAACATGGCATTTCAGCATTTTTAACAGCGTCCTCGTCTTTTCCGACAGTGCGAGCTATTTCCAAGAATTATTAACGACATGTTGATCGCTGTGATCTCTGAGAGCTGAATCATACAAATGTCTGTATTTACGAACCTCTGCCATACTAGTTCTTGCCGGTCCACCATGTTTTTCCGCGTCCGACCGTCCACGTGGTTAGAAAATTTCCTAGGTGCGCGTTGCGGAAATTTTGGGCCGTGCGGAGGCGCGGTGGAGGGGCGTGGTTGTTAAAATGACGCAACTTTTCCGCGCGGAGCCGTGCGGACCTCGCTGACGCGTCAAGCATGAACCAACCTTAAGGCTACATACAGATCATTTACTAACTTCTTTTTTTCTAACATCTAGTTGATGGAGGTGAAGAGGCAATTGGAGACTCAGATTGCTTCACATCAGAAAACCAAGGAGCTGCTGACCGCTGCAGAGTTGGAGCTAAACACCCTGAAGATGCAGCAGGGCAGCGCTGAGACCCGCTACACCCTGAGCTCCCCATCTACACCAGTCATCAGAGGTTTGTATCAAAACAAGCAGAAGTATGTAAGAGGTCTGTGAAATCTGCACAGTGTGATGTTGTGATTTAAACCTGAGTGAAGAGATTATTTTTATGCATCATCAAACCTATTTAAATGTGCATGTTGAGGACCATGATAAAACACAAGGAGTTGTTTTAGTTTGTTTTTTTTCTCTCACACATTTCTATTTTTATTTGTCTGACCCAGATTTGTTTTCTTTGGGTCGTGCTCGAATGCTGCTGTCTCCAGCTTTTGTTAGATGACGATAAATAAAAAGCTCAGTGAAATGTGTAGACCACACTTCTCAAAGGATTTAACAGTAGAATGTTATTTCCATCAACATTGCTTTATTCCCGTTTTAATCCAATAACTGTTTGAAAATTTGCAGGTCAACAGGGTTTGGATCAGGACCAGGAGGAGCTCCGGGGCCGCCTGCAGGTGGCCGAAACCCAGGTGGAGGAGCTGACGGAGAGCCTGAAGGCTGCTACCTCCAGCATGGAGCAATACAGAGCAATGGCTCAAAGCCTGGAGGAATCTCTGGAGACAGAGAAACAGGTCAGTCGGGACACAGTTATGATGCGACCCGCAAACCGTTTATGGGCTCCTCGGATCGTAAACATTTAACAGTTTAAACACGATGAAAAAGAAAGGCGAATCCATAATAGTTTTGTGGTTAGCAGAGCAGAGCTGGTCTGAACAAACAGGAGAGCTTTTTAGCGTAGCCATGCTATTAACAAAAGTTAACCCAATTAAACATTTAAATGTTACATCTAAAGAAGAAAACGCTCTGACGGTCAGTAAAGGTAAAGCTCCGCCACAAGGAGCCACCCCTGCATGAAAGAAAGTGAGTAAAAACAAGTTTCATGAGAGCACTTATATCATTTTGGACGTAGACCAGATCATCTAAACAGATTATGTGGTAAAGAAAATAAATATTGTTTTTCAGTTTTAGGTCAGTCGGTTGATACAGCACGCTGCATGTAGTAAAACGTGTACTTTTGAGTTTTGCTTTCAATTCAATTCAATTCAAAAATACTTTATTAATCCCAGAGGGAAACTGATTGCTGTAGTAGCTCAGAATAATAATAATAATCAAAAACATTTTGCCAGTCAGAGGCTCACACTGGAGACTGATAACTTTTGCATTTCTGCATGTAAATATTGTCTACTGAGCAGGTAACAGAGCAGGCTCGCTCATCCATTGCGGTCCATTTGAATGAGGCCGAGGAGCAGCGGCGTGGGCTGGAGGCGAAGCTCCTGGAATCGGAGAAAGAAAAGCAGAACTTTGAGGAGCAGAAGAGGAAAGCTGTTGCTTCTCTTGAGGAGCAGGTAGAAAATCGCCTCTTAATATAGATGAAAGTCAGCATTAAACATGTTAAACTTAATGTGGTCTATTGGGTGCCTGTTATAGATAAATGACCTGAGGAGGAGCCTCAGCGAGGTGCAGGCTGATTACCAGGCTGCGCAGGAGCAGCTGGCTGTGTGTAAAACTCAGCAGCAGCAGGCTCTGCAAGACAGCCAGGAGCAGGTAAACAAAAATATTTATTCAAGAATTTCATACTTTCAAGCAATTTATTGTTTTTTTAACAGTAATTCGTTATCAAACCATCTCTAAGGCTACGCGGGTTGCTGAGGCTCAAGATAAATATGAGCAAGAGATGTTGCTGCACGCAGCTGATATGGAGGCTCTGCAGGCTGCCAAGGCCCAGGCTCAGCAGGCTACTGAGTTCAAACAACATCTGGAGGAGAAAGTCCAGAGGCTCAGTGCTGAGTTACTGGAGGCCAGAGTCTCCTGGGAGGAGCAGGAGAAGATCCTCAAGGTTAGTCATGAAAGGAAAGAACTTTTAAAACTAATTAATTTCTTTTTCATGAAAATGTATTATTACAGTTGCAAAATTGTCCCTTTTGTTACAGGAAGAGATGTCTAAAATGGAGAGCCGCTATGAGGAGCTGCAGAGGCAGAACACTCTCCTGCATGAGCAGGTCCAGACGATCAGCGGCAGGCTAGCTGCTAGCATACAGAGTGTGGCCGGTGAGAGTTCACTGAACGTGTCTCTGACTGAAGAGGGCAAATCTCAAGAACAGCTTCTAGAGATCCTCCGGTAACTCGTTTATCTCTGATGCTTTTCATTATGATTCTCGTCCATCAGATTATAAAATTTACGAGGTTTGCTTTGACCACTGTTACAGCTCTATGTAGACTTGTTTCTTTTATTTATATATAAATCTTGCTTACTGTTTAACTGTTGCAGGTTTGTGCGTCGAGAAAAGGAGATAGCAGAATCCCGTTTCGAGGTCGCCCAGGGGGAGAGTTTACGTTGCCGACTGAGAGTGGAGCACCTGGAACGTGAGCTCAAAGAGGTGCAGGACACCTTAAGTGCTGCAAGAGAAAGGATGCAGGTCAGTTTTCATTTAGAGTTCCCATAATTCTCTACCGTGAAAGTTAAAATGATCGTATTGTTTTGTGATACATCTTAGTTTACAGTTTGTTTTATATTTTATCTTTGTAGTTGATTAATGCAACAACATTATTTGTTTACTTCTAAGGAGGTCTGGGTGAATAAATGCATAAAATGACAGAAATGTACAGTAAATTAACTTGGCTATCTGTTTACAAACTCAACACTTGTGTGTCTCAGGTCACTGCAAAGACGCTCGCTCAACATGATGAGCTAATGAAGAAGACTGAAACGATGAACATTCTAATGGAGACCAACAAGATGTTGAGAGAGGAGAAAGAGAAGCTGGAGCAAGAACTGCAGCAGGCTAAAGCGAAGGTGTCCCCATTGGTTTTAAACATATTTCTAATGGGGATCTTATCTTGTCCTCATTGTGGTTTTTACCGTGTATTTCAGGTGCAGACGTTGGAGTCGGACGCCTTGCCGCTGCAGCAGGTTAACACTGAGCTGAGTGAGAAGAGCGGGATGCTGCAGTCGGAGAAGGTGCTGCTGGAGGAGGAAGTCAAGCGCTGGAAGGCTCGAACTCAGGTCAGTTGAGAGATTAGAGAGTAAAGCAGAAATGTTCTGGTTATGAAATTCTTTATGTTCATAACATCCTTTTTCAGCATTTGGTGAGTCAGCAGAAAGATTCGGATCCTGACGAGTTTAAGCGCCTGCATACGGAGAGGGAGGGGCATCTGAAACGCATCCAGCAGCTCACCGAGGACAACGCTAGACTCAAAGCAGAGTTGACCAAGTGAGGGTTATCTTAGTGTGGATTGATGTTTGTCTCTCAATTGTTCCCTTTATCAGTTATGTGTTTCCTTTTACTTATGTCTGTTTCATCTCTGTAGATCAAATAATCTCACAACCGCCATTCAGAGTCAAATGCAGAACTTACGTGACAATATGAGTAAGGTGAACGAGGAGAGGAACACGCTGAAGAAGGAAATAGAGACCAAAAACGAAGAACTTCTGGATAAGATGCGAACTATTAACCAGGTTAAGAAGATCGGACGCCGCTACAAGACTCAGTTTGACGAGCTGAAGTCAGAGCATGATAGGGTAAAGGTTTCACACTTTACTTCAATCTAAGCCTTTAAATTTAAGTCTGTAGTGGATAATAAGCAGCATCGCTGATGTTTGGTGTTTCGTCGTTTGTATCCTGCAGCTGTTGGCGGAGGCAGCAGCGGGCCCGTCCCAAGACGAGGAGGCACGCCAAGCTTCGGTTCAAGAACTGCAGAGGGTGAAAGACTCTTTGAACCAGGCTGAAACCAGGACCAAAGAGCTGGAAGGACAGCTGGAGAACACCAACAAGGTAGTAGATGGTTAAGTCTCTTGTTAATTATTGAAATCATTTGACGGAGCCTTTTGTTTATTTTACATCAGTCTATTGAGAGGGCTTCATGTTTGCCACAGGTGACTGTGGAGCGAGAGGCTGAAGTACGCAGTAGCCAGGAACAGTGTTCCAGGCTGCAGACGGAGCTGACCAGGCTGAGGCAGGAGCTGCAGGATAAAGCTTCTCAGGAGGACTCTCTGAAACAGCAGATGGCCGAGAAGGAGGAGAAGACCAGGAAGGCTCTTGTTATTGCCAAGCAGAGGATCACCCATCTCACTGGTGATGCGATTTCCTCCTCTTACAACATATTACAATCAAATCAATAATGACAATTGAACACATCAAAAACTAATTGCTTCATCTTTTACCCTTGGTGTTTCCTCCTCTTTGTTTTTCTAGGTACCAAAGATCAGCTGCAGAAGGAAAACGAGGAACTAAAGCAGCAGCGAGATGAATTGAAGACGCAGCGGGAAGAACTGGAGATGAGAGTGAGTGCTCTCAAGTCTCAGTACGAGAGTCGGCTTAGCAAACAGGAGAGAGGACTCCGAGAACTGCGAAGTCAACAGGAGAGACAAGATCAGAGAGATGAGCAGCCTGAGGCTGGTCCCAGCAAGGTGAGCTTCTTCTAGAACATTTGTGTCAGCAAAATACCTTAGTCTTTCCTCACGTTTGCCTAAAACACAGATAGTCAAAGAGCAAGTTCACCGAGGTAACCATCTTTTACTCGTAATTTTTTATAGGATCGGTCACTCTGAGTTTCACATACAGGCTGAACGAGAAAATAGTTCTCCGTCCCTATTTCCTGCATTTGCCACAGATGGAAAATAGACAGGGGAGAAAAAGCCTGACAGATCTAATTGTGCCCCCCCAGCTAAGTTAACATTCATGGACTTACCCATCTTTGCTCGTGACGGGGAAGGCTGATTTAACGTCCTGGAGAAAGCAGAGAACGTCTGAACTAGTAGAAGCTAACTGTTAGCATTAGCAACTCCACCACACGCAGAACTCAAAAGTGGAGTCGTTTTGCTGTTAACCAGTTTCCATTACACCAATCAGAGGCTGAATATCAGGAAAAACTCCTGCCGTCTTCTGCTCACCACTCTGGCTGCTGACCGAAACAGGAGCGCCTGAGCTTTTTTCAACAACTTTCATGTCATTCATTCATACTAGAGACCACAGCAAGTGTATTAAATGATGAGTGAACACAACATTTAAGTGTGTTATCATCTTAATTGTATCTAACTGCATCGTCGACAAATTATAAACAGAATAAATGATCAACAGCACTTCTGGTGGAAACCGTTATTGTTGCTGGTTTTGGGAATTCTGTATTTTCCATTTAGCATTTTCACAGATTTTTCTGTCTTTATTTTAGATTCAAGAGCAGCAGAGGAGTGCCGAACAGAGGCAGATCAGTCTGAAGACTACTTCATCTGCAGACAGGAGCAGGTACAGTTCCACACTAAACTAGGGTTGTCACGGTAACCGGTATAGCGGTAAACCCCGTTAAAAAAGTTGACAATAAAAATAACCGTCCAGTTTTTAAAAAACTAAATTATCTCGGTGGGTTTACCGTGGCCGCGGTTTCGGCGCGATGACCCTTACCAGCCACCGTCGCTTCAGCTGAAGTTCCCGCTGCGCGCACACGCACTTTTTAATTTGCAACGGCACCAAAACTTTGAAGCTGAAATAATGGCCGAAGGAGGCGACGGCAGCGCCCAGGACATCCATCAGCCCTCAAAGAAGACTAAATCGGAAGTATGGGCATATTTGGGATTTCTGAAAAATGCTGAGGGACAGTTAATAGAAGACGGCTATCCCGTTTGCAGAACGTGCAGGAAACAAGTGTCTGCAGAAGGCAGCAACACTTCAAATCTCATGGCACATCTGCGTGACGATCACCCACGTCTCCACAGCCAGTGCAAGGTAAGTTAACATTAGCATTTTAGCTTAAATGCATGACGTGAGGACTTTTGGTTGAGGGAGAATGCAACGAGTCACTATATACTGCAGCCGCAGCGTCCTCTGCCAGCATTTAAACCGTGTCACGGACACCCTGTTGCTGGATGAAGCATCTTATTTGTTGATGATGAAGAGAAATATACAATTAGTTCCTTGTCATTGATTTGTTTGCTTATTCAATGCCATTTATACTTGAACATTTGGATTTGATTACATAGTGTAGTAGTTATTTTAGTAATTTGTTTAAAGTGGATATTTATTTTAAATACATATTTTTTAAGGTTGACTTGTACAGTGCTCAAGTCAAGTGTGGACTGGAGTTTTAGATTTTCATTTTGATAATGAAGAAAACAAGTATATGAGAAAACAAGTGGTGTTTCTTTGATTTGTTTACATATTGTTTATGTTTTGAATGTTTGGATTTGTATAATTTAAACCTGCACTGACTACTGTAACATGTTCCAGAAAAATAAGCTATTTGTTCCTTTACTTGTGAAAAGTTGCACTTTTGCTAAGGCTTTGTGTTATTTTAGGTTTAATAAACACTGTTAAACCTTTTCAGAACTATTTCAGTTTGTGTAGAACAGGAATATCAATGCTTTCTGAACATATGCAACACCGTTTAAAAAATACCGCGATAATACCGAAAACCATGATAATTTTGGTCACAATAACCGTGAGGTTAAATTTTCATACCGTGACAACCCTACACTAAACAAAAATATGTTGTGTGGTATTATGGCAAGCTCATAGCATCAAAATGTTTTAATATCAATGCACCGTGTTTACTCTTCAAAAGAACAGAATAATTTACTGTGTTGCAGAACTGTAGAAGTGTGAAAGATCTTAAATTATCTTTTTTACTGCTATGAGAAAATAAAAGCATCAAATTAGCTGATAGCAGCGCCTGTAATTCCTGAAAGGGGTAAAACCCTCCATATCAGCTTTAATCATAGGCGTCAGTTTAACCGGGGACACCGGGGACATGTCCCCGGCAAAATTTGTGATTGGCAGCTGTGTCCCCCCCCCACTTTCAAAAACGCCTGCTGATGAGGATTTTTGTTTTACCAGCTCAGATCTTATCCAGGGGTCGGCAACCTGTTCCCATCAAAGAACCATTATTACCCGTTTCCCACGGTAATTTTGGACGGACCTTAATAAGCAGTGACTTAAGTGAAGCAGGCAGGTCGCGCTAGAAAATTTCGTTTAAAAAGATGTCATAAATGTGTTCCCCCGTCATTTTTATTACTAAAATATGAAGTAAAAACTCACAATTTAATTTTCATTCATTTGTCATTAATATGTAGTCTACACCCGTGCGTTAAGTGGACCATCTTCCAGTAAACGCACAGCATCCAGTCCACCTCTCCAAATGCGTAAAATGTGCATCAGCCGCTAGTTAGGCGCGCGCGCACCATCAGCTGATCAGCCCAGACAAGAGCAGAGCGACTAGAGAAAGACTAGAGGATAATTGTGTCTGGATGTGGATGGAGAATACATTTTACAGCAGCCTGATCATCATTTAAATACGTAAACCATCACCTGTCTTCTAGTCCACGCTATCAGCATTATTTTATATTTTAATTGGTGTGTGTGTGTGTGTGTGTGTGTGTGTGTGTGTGTGTGTGTGTGTGTGTGTGTGTGTGTGTGTGTGTGTGTGTGTGAGTGAGTGAGTGAGTGAGTGAGTGAGTGTGTGTGTGTGTTTTCCACTTCAAACACTGGTCTAACCAACCAGACCAGCGTGTCCAGTAACACATTAATGTTACAATTAAACAGTTTCACTAGGAACGTTTCATCTGCCGTGGCCCGACCGCTTCTGCTCCACATGAACTTTGTGCGTGATCAAATGTCTCTACGCTTCATGCGGAAGACGGGAACAAGCGCTGTTCAGCCAAAGTTTCATAATTTCATAAAAAGAACATTTTCCAAATGACACATCCCTCAGAGAGACCGGGTTTCCTGAACGCTTCAGTGGGAGGAAATCATCGCATGCGCGTGGTTCTGCACTGCGCTGGAACCCCAGATCTTCAGCTCACTGTCCACCGGGGGCGCTCCGAGCCGCGCTGAACACAGTGTCCAGTATAAAGAGCTCTGATGTTCTGATGGGAATATTTTACCTCCGCGTGTGCGTTAACAAAATGTCAGCTCATCCATGAGCATCCGTGTGCGTCGGGGTAATTTTTTCAAACCAAGCAACATCCTTGAGTTCATCTGTCAAAATAAACAGTCAAATGGAAATATATGTAACCTGCCGTTTAACTGTTTTGCCTTCCTGTGAAGATTGTTGCAAAGAGAAACAATTAAACTTGATTAACCCCAGAGCCACGCAGAGAACCGGCAGTGCGCATGCGGGAAGGTTCCTCCCACTGAAGCGAGTGTTTTCCAAACCCTGTCTCTCAGAGAGACTTGTCACTTAGAAAATGTTCCCTGATGATGAAACTTTGGCTGAATAGTGCTTGTTCCTGGCTCCAATGTGGCGACACATCCAGGAGCCGTCTGAGGAGAAGCCCAGAATCTCACATCCTCTTCAGCTCATATGATTACGCACAAGCGTGACCGGTCAACCACCGCAGACCGGGTTGGACCTGTTCAGGTTTACGCAGACAATCTTTACATTTAGAATTGGCATACAGGTGTAAAATTAATGCAGTAAAATATAAAGCATTTTATTTAAATATCCATTTATTATTTTACAAGCACAGAGAGTTGCATCAGATGGATGGAAGAGCCGCATGCGGCTCCAGAGCCGCGGATTGCCGACCCCTGTGCTAGCCTACTTTATTGTCCCCAGCAATTTTTAAACCCCACTCAAGTGTATGGTTATTGTCCCCAGCAATTCTGAAAACAAACTGACGCCCTTGGCTTTAATGGTTAAAAATATTAAGTCCCATCAGTTGTCACACACACGGGTGTGTGGTTACATTTGTCTTCTGCATTTAAACCCATTCCTGTGGGGAGCGGTGAGCTGCAGCTGCGCTCAGGAACTATTTGGTGGTTTAAACCCCCCAATCCAACCCCTTTAAAGCTGAGCGTCAAGCAGGGAGGCACAGGGAGCCTAAGTCACGCCTATCTACTTCCGGACCACGGGTCCCCGGAAGAACGAAAAAATGAATGCAAGTCAACGGGGCTAAAAACACTTTTTTCTAATTCAACTTGTTTTGTGCCATGGATTTCACATCTGATGTCCGTGGATTTTAAAGAACCTTTCTGATACCAAGAACGCGCTCATTTTAGAACAGGTGGACACGCTATTTTAGGTTTTGTGTGAAAATAAGTCCAGGACTACAAATGCGCTTCACGAAAGTGGCATCATTGAACCAGACAGGAAGAGAACTGAGGGAAGTCTGTGATTGGTTGGTCAGAGGCCTTCTCCTCACCACGGAGACCATCAGCTGCCGCCTCGACTGAACATCCGTCCCGCTCTGACATCAGAACTTGGAACGCCTGTATGGATGTCATTCTAACTTATCAGCTGTAAGTTCAGCAAGTCTCCGACAGGAGGAAAGAACCACCGTAAGTCTGGTCATGTGGTGAGCGGCAGCCACTCTAGAAGAGAGGAGATTGTGTGGTGACGTCACTTATGCAATGTGTCGATTTCTGGTGTGTAGTCATGCAAATTACGAACGTTTACAAGCTGATAAATCTCAAAGTACGTGACTGGCGTGGCCGAAACACCCTTCATTACTTTTCATTTAAATTATAGTACAACATATGTGCGATCCAGGGCGTAAGGCAAAGCAGGTTAGAAAATAGCGTTTTTAGCCCCGTTGACTTGAATTAATTTTTTCATTCTTCCGGGAACCCGTGAGCCGACCGGAAAAGGAGGAGATTTAGGCTCCCTATTAGGTCCCATTTTTCAAGTCTTTGCTATGACCCGACTGGGATTTGAACTCCGATCCCCCAGTCCCAGGGGAGACACTACCACTAGGTCACTGAGCTGGTTGGTTTAAAGGACCCTGACCAGTGTTGTTGATGATCTCAACTGGCACATCTCTGGTAGCTCTTGTTAAATCCCATAGAATCCGTTTGTTTTTTTTAACAAGTGTTTTTCATGGACAGCGCCAGCACTTCTGACCCTCCTCCGACTGCCAACATTAAGCCAACGCCTGTAGTCGCCACACCCAGCAAACAGACCAACAACCCGGGAAGTAAACCCACTCCACGAGCAAGCATCAGACCCATGATTACCCCGGCCCCCGTGCCCACACCAACACCAACTGCTACAGTCATGCCAACCACACAGGTGGAGACCCAGGAAGGTAGCTGCAAAGTACAAATCAAATCAAATCCAATATGTTACTGAATTTTTTCTAAGTCCTGAACAAAGTGTAATTTCCTGTTAACCCTGATCTTCAACAGCCATGCAGTCGACTGAAAGCCCACCGGTGGAGCACGTGACCGTGTACGGCAGTGCCAGTGGTTCTGTGCGCTCCGCCAGCCCAAATGTCCAGACCACTTTAGCTAGTCCCATGTTGACCGTGCAGCAGACCCAGACCCAGGCCACGGCATTTGTTCAGCCGACGCAACAACAGAGTGTGACCCACTCAGAACCGGCCAGTCAGGACCCTCTGCCAGTTGTGATCGAGGCAACGCCCAGTTCTCAGGTGGAATGGCCATCAACGTCTTCCACTTCCTCTGTGTTTGGCACTGGTGAGAAATCCTCATAATAATCTGATGTGGATTAGGATTTGTTATTTACTAAGAAGATGTTTTTACAATTTTAACCATTTCTTTTTTAAATAATGGGAAAGTCCAAGTTAAGGAAATGTGTATCATATTAAAAAGCATTTTGCTCATTTTTATTTTACATTTAAAAATGGACAAAGGAAGATCTCACTGACTCACACAAAGTTGTATATTTTTGCTTTTCGTGCTACAGTTTAGAATAGATTGAAGGGGGTGGTTAATAATTGTCCATCTCTAGTTTCAGCGACACCGGGAACTTCTGCTTTGTCCAAGAGGCCTCGTGAGGAGGAGGAAAGCAGCGTCGTGACCGCTGAGACCGAAACAACCCAGGAGGACACCTCCAGGACTCCCATAGCCAAAAAGCTGCGCATGATCCAGAGAGTGGGCCCAGAGGTGAGGATCTAAACACCAGTGTTTACCAGATCTTGTTCAAATAAAAGCTGCTCCCATGGCTGATTTTCATCTGGTCTTCCTAGGAGGAGGTTCTGGTTGAGGAGAGTGGCGAAGCTGAAGGCGTAGTTCCATCGGACAGTCAGGATGGTGCAGAGCCAAGCCAGGTCACATGTCATCACTTATTTGAAGTTCTCTTACAGCTTCTGTTTCACCCAATAATGCTTTGGAGAAAAGTAGAATTCATTGAATATTTTTAGGATCTTATTTGGCATAAACATGAAGAGACATGCAACCATGCTAACTTAAACCTTTCGGAGCAAGGGTAGGCGCATATGTGATACAATATTACCGTTGGCACTTTGGCCATTCAGTCCCTTTACCAGAGGAGCGTGAGTTTGGTCCGCATAGCCGGTAGTAAGTCGGACCTGTTCCCAGTGAGGGTTGGACTCCGCCAGGGCTGCCCTTTGTCACCGGTTCTGTTCATCACTTTTATGGACAGAATTTCTAGACGCAGCCGTGGTGTGGAGTGTGTCGAGTTTGGTGGCAGGAGAATCTCGTCTCTGCTTTTTGCGGATGATGTGGTCCTCCTAGCTTCATCCAGCTCTGATCTTCAGCTCTTGCTGGGTAGGTTCGCGGCCGAATGTGAAGCGGCTGGGATGAGGATCAGCACCTCCAAATCTGAGACCATGGTTCTCGACCGGAAAAGGGTGGCTTGCCACCTCCGGGTCGGGGAAGAGGTCCTACCTCAAGTGGAGGAGTTTAAGTATCTCGGGGTCTTGTTCACGAGTGAGGGTAGGAGGGATCGGGAGATCGACAGGCGGATTGGTTCGGCATCTGCAGTGATGCGGACGCTGAGCCGATCTGTCGTGGGGAAGAGGGAGCTGAGCCAGAAAGCCAGGCTCTCGATTTACCGGTCGATCTACGTCCCAATCCTCACCTATGGTCATGAGCTTTGGGTAATGACCGAAAGAACGAGATCGCGGATACAAGCGGCCGAAATGAGTTTCCTCCGTAGGGTGGCCGGGCTCAGCCTTAGAGATAGGGTGAGGAGCTCGGACATTCGGGAGGGACTCGGAGTAGAACCGCTGCTCCTCCGGATCGAAAGGAGCCAGTTGAGGTGGTTTGGGCATCTGGTCAGGATGCCTCCTGGACGCCTCCCCGGGGAGGTGTTTCGGGCATGTCCTGCCGGCAGAAGGCCCCCGGGTCGACCCAGGACACGTTGGAGAGGTTACATCTCCAATCTGGTCCGGGAACGCCTTGGGGTCCTGCCGGAGGAGCTGGTGGACAAGGCCGGGGAGAGGACGGCCTGGAGCTCCCTAGTTGGGATGCTGCCCCCGCGACCCGGACCCGGATAAGCGGAGGAAGACGACACTTTGGACACTTAATTTGTTCTGAAATATAATTATTTTCTTGAGATATTCTATCAGCCTGGGTAGAAGACGCTTGGATTCCATGAAATTGCACCTCCAACTGTGTGATTTCCAACCATTTCATGACCTATCCCTAGATCCCAAGCAACGCAGCGTGGACCATGAAGAAGAAAGCAGCTTTGGCAACACGCACACCCACCAAACTTTGCAACCATTCCACTAGCGGTTAACCTTTCGGTTTTGCTCATCCCTCTCCGTCAGGTGGTTTTAACGTTTGAATGGTGCCAGTTTGAAGGAGTAGTTGGTGTTTAAATCCACTCCGGTACTGGCGGAGGTTTAACAATCAGTCTGTGAAATCACTGTCACCTGGCTTGGTCTTGAGAGCTCCTGAAGATAAAATCCAACCGTTTCTAGTGAGTAAGATCTTCTTTGGGAAGACCGAACAAAGTCCTGTACCTCTCACAGCCAAAGATGTGTTTTTGCATTCTAGAGTGCAGACTAGATGAGAAATAAGTAGCTTTTTGTACATCTGAGGAGATTAAATCACCCACTTGCAACTCGGAGAGTGGGCGTGATTGTTTACAGGGTTGGAGCAGGACAGGTTGATACACACCTGCAACTTCCAACTGTTTGCAATAGCTGGGCAGACCAGCAGCCAAAAATCACTTAGGGTGTTTTTGATTAGGAAATAACAAGACAACACTGTCAAAAGCTCAAAAAGTACATTCGCACAATATAGTCCCTGTAAGTAATTAAGTTGATCTCAGTTGTCTTGAATGTGCTGCACAAACAAATCAGACGTGGATCTTGTGGAGTATGGCACTACCTTCTCCCTCTGCTGGGAGCTGTAAGCTGCGTGTGTTTGACCTACATGCTCTTCTCTATGCAGACGGAGGAGTTCTCTAACCTGGAGGAAATGGAGGATGATGTCGCTACTCAGTCCATCATGGAGCACGGGGTCACCCCAACCCAAAGTGAGACCCAAGACCCTCTGCCGCAGGAGGTCATTGTCATCCTGACTGACTCTGAGAGTGAAGATGAGCAAGACGACGACGACGAGGAAGAAGAGGAAGAGCAGGTAGTGAGTTTGTGTGAAACACTTTTGAAGTCTCTGTGAAATATATGGGTAAGGCTCATTGGTGCATTGACCTCCTGGTGACTGTAGGATTATGTGGAGGAGGAGGAAGAAGATGAAGAAGAGGAGGAGGAGGAAGATGAAGAAGAGGAGGAAGACGATGGAGAGATGGCAGAGGAAGGAGACGACAGTAATGAGGGGAGTGGAGATGGCAATGAGGCCTATGAAGGGGACGACACAGAGGTTAGAGCATCACCGTGCTCACTTCCAGTCAGATGTTTGTTCTCTTTTCCTGCTCACCGCTCAGTTGCTCCACCGCCTCAGCTCACTGTCACATGTGATCGACCCTGCTGCTGTAACCTGTCTGCATGGGATTTTCACCCATATTTACTTGAGCTCTTTCTTGGATGCTCTTGTTTATGCTGAGTCAGCATTTAAAGTCTTAACGGTGTCTAGGTGTGTTTTTGGGTTAAATGTCATTTGAATACGGCATTAAACTGTTTGTTCCTTTTTGGGATGTTTTCAGACTCCTTTAAAGACAAGTGATCCTCATGCAGGTTGAAGCCTTACACCGGCTTTCCACAGGAGCCGTCAGCAGCATGTTACTGCAGCAGCACGTCATAGCTGCTGATAGGAACCGCTGTGGTCAACAGAACCTTTTCCACCGGAGCCGTCAGCAGTGCGAGTCGGCCGCGTCTCAGGAGCAGCATGTCGCGCCCTTTACGCGCCGGTTCTATTTTCTATGCGCAACGCCTCTGAAACGGGTCAAGTTCGACATTTTTGGGGAAGGAAAGACAGGAAATCTGACGCGGAAATGGAGAGAAGCTCCCGAGATTTTCAGAATAAAGAACGTACTGCCTTCCGGTTGCTTTACTTTTAAAAAAGGTTTCTAACTGTGCGTCCCCGTGAGAAGTTATCACCTAGCTAGTGGTCTCCTTTGTTTTTCAGGTCCGTATTGGCGATTATAAAACGGACAGAACATAAAACACAAACCATGTTGTAGTTTTCTCCTGCTTGTTGTTGTGTTTACTGACGAAGTCACTCGTGTGACTTTGTGCTCGGTAAGTGGTAAGTGGCCTGTATTTGATATAGCGCCTTCTAGAGTCCTGAAACCCCCCAAGGCGCTTTACAACACAATCAGTCATTCACCCATTCACACACACATTCACACACTGATGGGGATGAGCTACAATGTAGCCACAGCTGCCCTGGGGCGCACTGACAGAGGCGAGGCTGCCGAGCACTGGCGCCACCGGTCCCACCGGTCGGTGACAGCTGCTCCCCTGCTGCTTCGCGTCTCGTGGGAAGGGCCAAGCAGCAGCTTACGCGAGCAAGACGTGCTGCTGCAGTAACGTGCTGCTGCCGGCTCCCGTGGAAACCTGGGGTAATTCTAATGAGGCACACATTTCATTTCTTAATCCTGAATCAGTTCAGTTAAAGTTCTGACTGAACCTAGTAAGTGATTTCTTCCCAGAACTTTTTTCTAAAAGCCGCCTTTGTTCATAGCAGGGACAAAATGAATCATTAATCTGTATTTTGTTCTCTGCCAGGATGTTCTGGTAAAGTAAGAGGGAAGCAAATGCTGTTTTCCTTTTCCTAATTATCTTTGCTGTACATGTTTTCATTGATTTTCTTTAACGTCATTCAACAGTTACAAGTCATCGTTTCTTTTTTTCCCAGCCATTTTTCTTTTCTTTTAAAGATTTTTCTTTTTTTCTCCTGTTTTCCAGGGAGCTGATGTCACAGACCCGGGCACAGAGACAGAGGAGAGTCTGGGGGCGTCTGACTCCACCCAGAGGCCTGCAGATTCCCAGACTCCCAGCTGTAAGATCCAGGAAACCCTGTTGAAGTCTTGTACTGCGTCGATTCTCCATATGTGCTCACAAACTGTCTCGCCATCCAATTATTTATCTGACTATTTGCAATGACTGAAAGGAATGTGAAATGTTGTCTGAGAGGAGAGGTAGCAAAACTGACCAAAATAGGTCAGTGATTCAAGTTCTTTTATATTCAACAAAAAAATAATAATAATTACAGAAAATGTGTATTTTCCATTAGAAGTATCTCAAAATTTGTAAAATGTCCTAAAGACCAAGTTCACTTACTTATTTGTTTAAATATGATCAGTCACTCAGTTTCATGCGCAGGCTAGATGTGAAAATTGTCTTCTACCCCTATGTCCTTCATTAGCCGCCGACAGGGAGACCCTCGAGGGGGAAAAAAGACTAACAGATCTATGTTTCACTGTAAATGAACATTTATGGACTCATCCAGCAAACAGCAGAGCACGTCTCGGCTAGTAGAAGCTGTAGTAGCATTACCAACTCCTCCACACAGCAGAACTCCCTCAGCCTTGTGTTTTTTGTAGAAATAAAACGTCACCATTGCAGAGCAAACAGTCAGTGGTAGAGTCGAGCTGCTGTTAGCCAATCAGAGGCGAGATGTCGGAATATCAGGAAATAAGACTCCAAATCCTGTCGCGTTCCTCTCTCCTCCAACTAACTTCTACTTCCTGAAGCAAGAGCTCCAGAGCTTTTTTTCCCATAGAGATTAACTCCCTAGGCATTCATTTATACTAGAGACCACTGCAAATGCGTTGAAACAAACAAATGGTGAATGGCCTGTATTTGATATAGCGCCTTCTAGAGTTCTGAAACCCCCCAAGGCGCTTTACAACACAGTCATTCACCCATTCACACACACATTCACACACTGGTGGTGATGAGCTATGGAGATGATGTAGCCACAGCTGCCCTGGGGCGCACTGACAGAGGCGAGGCAGCCGAGCACAGGCGCCACCGCTCCCTCCGACCACCTCCAACAGGCAAGGTGGGTCAAGTGTCTTGCCCAAGGACACAACGTCAGCGACAGACTGAGCGGGGTTCAAACCTGCAACCTTCCAATTACGGGCCGAGCACTCCTGTGCCACTGTCACCCAAGTGAACCTGGTCTTTAATCAATTTAATTTCGTAAAAATGTTCCTATTTTCTTTTGTTCTTATAATATTTGAGACTTGGCATTTGCTGGGCCATTTTTAGATCCGTGATTTTACATTTATCCAAACATTCGTCTCTTGTAGTTGAGGGGAGCTCCATGGAGGCCGTCTCCTCTGACCAACCAATCACAAGTTCTGGCACACGTATGCCTCCGTCACCACGGAGACCTGTGCATCAGCTGCCGCCTCGACTGAACATCCATCCCGCTCTGACATCAGAACTTGGACCGCCTGTATGGATGTCATTCTAACCCATCAGCAGTACATTATTTTTTAACTGTCCTTAAAATTTAATTACTTTTTTTTTTTTTTTTTTTTCAGCGCGTTCCTGTACGGCGCCAGTCAGTAGGCAGACTCACCCCTGGGATGTCGAGCACGGCTGTGAGTCACACAGATTTTATAATAATTGTTATTTATATGATTGCTGGAGATGATTCTTCTTCTCCTATCTGCAGCAGCAGCAACATTTCTATGAGGAAGATGACAGAATGGTTCCCAGTACTCCCACTCTGGTGCCTCCTCGGTCTGATGCTTTTGACCAGGCCATCCAGTAAGTCTGTCAGGCATCAACACTTGGATCAGACATCAGAAAGTTTGGATAGAATAAAAAATCTAAAAGCATACTTTTGATTTTTGCAAGATGCTAAGTGTGACGAGTCATTTGTTTTTAATCATGAGAACAAAGTGGCACAAACCATTCCACCTTTTTGTTTTTTGCAGTTCTCCCCAGGTTGCAGGAGTCCCTCGGTTCAGGTTTGGCCCTTCAGAAGATCTGCCACAGACCAGCTCCTCCTCACACTCTGACCTGGGACAGCTCGCTTCACAAGGAGGTGCTTTATCACGTGTTCACTAACACACAACACCACATGTTGGAAATGTGTCTGGGAGGGATGTGGTCATTGGATGTGAGGTTTTGATTTAAATGCAAATGACTGGTCTGATTCAGGTCTTGGGATGTATGAAAGTCCTCTGTTCCTGGCAACTCATGAAGAGGAAGCTGGTGGACGCAGCGTTCCCACCACTCCGTTACAAGTCACTGCTCCAGGTAATACGAGATCAGGCTGTCCACTTCCAGGGCCGTTTCAGGAATTCCTCTGACTGGTTTTTGTGAAGTTTGAAAACTGAGTGGAAAAAATACAAATTCACCAGTTTTTAAAAACAAAATGTGTGGGTGTTTTTTCATTTTTATGTGTTATCTTTCATTAGTAGTGTTCTCAGAAGTAGCACAGTCTGACACAACGGAGCACGCCTCCCAGTCCGTTCCCATGGTGAGCACATCTACACCCAGCCTAGTTGTACCAGGAACGGCCGGTCCAGGGGAGGAGAGAGACATTTTCCTGGAGCCAGACACTGATAGGTGATTATCCCAACAGTTAAATAAGCCTTTCAGCTGGAAAAACCTTAGTGTTTATTATTAAGCAAAGTCCAAGTCTAACTGGGAAATGGCTCCATCCTTTCATTTATTAGCTGAATAAAATATAATTCTGGATGTAAGCACCATGCCAACTTTATAGTTACTTGCATGATTTGAGTCCTTCTGTGCATGTGTGCGTGCACATGTTCATTCATCCACTTGTTCATTTTTTACAGACCCAGTGTTGAGGTGTCCATGGATCCTGTAGTGTCTCAGGGAGACGCAGAAGACCCGAGTCAACCATCTGACAGGTCCAACCTTCCTTCCACCAGCCAGGAGCCCTCTTCCAGCTCTGCAGGTAGAGTCTGGTCTGAAATTTTCCTTTGTAACTGTAGATATTTTTTAAAAAAACTACTGTTTTGGTTGAATTTAATTCTGCTGTTTGATTTAAGCGAGTCACGTGTCTGCAGATACAAGCAGCGCTCCCCCTAAACTCTATCGGCCTGGACCCAGTAGACAGCTGCAGCGCAGAGGTAACGCCACTCCCCTCCTTACTGCCGATGCTCATGTATGTGTTCCTGTATAACTAGTTTAATGGTGTTTCACTGATGAGCAGGTCCAAGCAAAAACAATGTTTTATGACTGATTGCAATAAGAAACGCTCCTCTAGATGGTATTTTTGTTAGTATTTTATTGTATACATAAAAAATACATTTTATTATAAACTATAAAATTGCTTTACAGATTTTGCATTTTCATCAGTTTATAAATACAAAATTTTTTGTGCGATGAAATCCTTTATTTTTGCCTTCCTCAAACGTAAAAGTTTTAGTAAAGATTCATGTTAATGTGCTCATTTAAATGAATAATAATGGATTAGATTCACAAACACTATACAGACAGTCCCTTATTCATTAACTTACCTTTAATATTTATAGAAACACCAGTAATTTATGTGCAGCACTAAATAATGTCTGTTTGTTCAATAAAGTTTTGGAATTGATGTTGAAAACAAAAAAATATATATAAACATAAGTATAATGGTCTGTAAATAATGCATTTTGTAGAGCTACTATAAAGGTTTGACACCAGTGACCCCCCCCCCCCCCCCCCCCCCCCCCCCCCCCCATCCTCTCCCACAGGTCAGGCCTTCCCGTCCCGGGGTGTCCCTGGAAGACGATTTCTGAGATGAATCACCGACATCCACCATTCCATCAGAAACACGTTTCGATTCGTTTCTTGGTGTTTTTCTCTTGTTCTGGCGTCTGGTTTTGGTTTTATTGCCGGTTTTTGTGTGTTGACGTTGCCGTTGAGAAGAAAATAAAAATCAGATCTGATGGAAGCTGCCTGATAGGTGCTGCTTTGAAGTTAAACACTTTTTGGACACTTGAAGAAGGCATTGGTTTGAGGCGTCCCGTTTGGTTGAGGAGCTGCGACGACGGGTCGTTCACCATCCATCCTCACGTTGTACGTTGTTGCTGCAAAAGAAATGACATCTCCAGTCTACACAACTGCTTATATTAATGCATTTAGGATGTTTTAATGTGGCTGGGAGTTTCCAACTAGTGGAACTAAAACCATCAGTTTGTTTTTCCAGAAGTTGTGACTGTGTGGTTGTGGAAAAAGCATTGGAGTGGCTCGTCTGATTTTTAAGAGCTGTGGTGTTTTGTGAATGATGTCAACGACTAGACGGTGAAAACATCCTTGTGTTCTGCTGACTTTACTCAGAAGCTACTCAGATCTTTGTATAATTTAAAATCCAACACTTTTTACTACACAATAAAAGCCTTAGGTGAATAAAAGCATGCTTTAATCATTTTTCCCTATAAAGACCCACGCAACCCTCATTACACACCCCAGACACGATGTTTGCAGCACTGTGCAGACGTCTGTGAGGATGCCGTACCAGTTATGAAGCACATTTAAAATTGGCGTGGCATCTCACCAAGATGCTATACAGGAGAGCGAAAGACTCAAACACAACAACAAAGATGGCATAGGAGTAAAGTATAACGCTAAAAACATAAAACACAAAAGCAAGGCATCAAATTACATTAAAAGTTATCTAACCATAAAACAAGTAAAAGCACTAAGATAAAAGAAACAAGTAGAAACTGAGCAACGTTAACAGCTGCTGTTCAAATGTCTTTACATTTAACATCAAACTGGATTCTTGAATTTTCATTTTTTTTTTTTATTTCTTCTGCTAAATCTTAATAAAAAATAAAATGGGAAGGTTTTTAAAGTTATTCAATGAAAGATTTCTGGTGTGAATGAAATACTTACATCGTGAGAAGACGACGTATTTGTACCCCTCTGGCTCTCTGATGCTTGGGACAGACACAGCAGCGGTGATGGTGGGGGGGAATCCTCTCCAGGATTTACGGATGTTGATGGCTGGTTCTAAAACCGAAACTGGGAGAAAAACGGTGAACTGGTCAATTCTGGAGAAAAATTAAATGAAATGATTCCTTTTGGATGAAAGGGAGCATCAGAACCTTTTATTTAGCAGATGATGGTGTTTAACAGAACATTCAAGCGCATCCAGCATTTAAAATGTCTGGTGAAATGTGAAAAGCTGTACTACTCTGGCTATTTTTACCTTGAATTTATGATTTAAACAAGTTAACCTGAAATGGTTTCATTCTTGGTTCACCTGCTTGTCTGACCTTTCGGGCTCGGACCGTGTAAATGGGTTGGTGGACTTTTTTGTCACATGTTGAACTGGTGCCAAACTGGTAGGAATATTTCTGAACAAACCCTCCTGTAAAAACCAGGAATTTGGTGAAAAATCAAACAAACTAAATTAAATCGGTAACAGTTTACAATAAGAATCAGTTTATTGATGCTACTTAGCACATTTTTAAGCATTAATAAACTAAGGGTCCCTTTATTAATATTCCTGGTATTGATAAGTTATCCTTAAGTTTAGGATTCTTAGTAATGCATTACATAATATGGTTAACCAGCTGTTAATGCCTAATAATGAACATTACTAAAGGGACCCTTAATTGTTACCATCAAACTCTTAAAATCCAAAATTAAATTAGTTTCATCACCTCTCTTGAAAAAGTAAACTGATTCCTTCCTGCTGCGATACTCCGGAACCGACAGGGCCGCTGTGATGTGCCCCTGCAGCCCATCAAAACCTGTTTTCACTAATTTGGGGTAACCAGCATCTAAAACGTCGTTTTCAAATCTCCAGTATTTACCTCCCTGGAAAACATTTAGAACAAACAAAAACGGTAAAGGAGAGGAAGTGTGGTTTTGTTTGGGTGCAGATGAGTGAAGTCACTGATTTATTTAGTTTTCTTTTTGAGGCAGCTCACCTTGAATATGTACGTTTTCCCCTGGCAATTGCAGCGGGTGAACACAGTGTCAATGGGGGAAGGAACTCTCCACGTCTGGGTGATGGCTCGGGGAGCACTTGGCACGTGGTGTTGGTCCAGAAACCAGAAGTAGTGACCTGTAAAACACGTCGGCTTGATTCTCGACAGTCTGAGCCACAGCCCAAATGAAGTGTCCCTTAACAACCGTTGATTTCATGCTAAAATAATGGGACTTGGGTGTTTTTATGATGAATAATCTTGGTCCATGCCTAATTCTTCAGATTTGATTGTTTTTTGTGAACTCCTCGGTACCCACCTCTGAACACCACCACAGTGCCGTTCCTCAGAGTGGTGACCCCACTGACCGGACGCCCGCTGCACAGGTTTAAATCGTTTCTGTCATCTGGAGAAAAGCAGACAAAAATAAAATCATCTTTACACATTAAAATAAAGCTACAGACAAGAGTGGCTGATGGTTCAACCCAGTTTTGTACTGATATTTCCCTTTTCTTTCATAATCGTGTTAATTAGTCCTAAATTTGATCACTAATAGCTTTTTTTTTCATTTATAAAGGAAAAATCTATCTAAAAGAGTAATTTTGTGCAAAGATATCTCATATAGAACAGCATTATGTCTGACTGCACAAATCTGATAGTCCTCTCTTGTGGACAATGTGTACATTAACACGATCAGAACGTGTCCCACCTGATTGGTAATCTCCTGGATTAGCTATGGTCAGCATTTGAGGATCCAGAGGTTTGGGGTCAGGTTTAGAGGAGGGTGTTAGTTTAGACAAATCGTCTTCACCCTGAGGTTTGGAGGTGGGTTCAGATGTTTGAGGATCAGTTGGTTTTGAGGTAACGGACGACGGATCAGCTGTAGTTCTCTCTGGTGTGGCATAATCTGTGTTTTCATTTTGCACCGGAGCTGTTGATGTAGGAGTTTCTGCATCTGTTGGAGAGACCGTGGCTGGGCCGTTGGGGTCTGCCAGAGAAGATGTGACGTTTTCTGGGTAGTTTTGTGTGTTGGGGATTGAGGTGAGTTCCTCTGGAGCTGCACTGGTGATCTGAGAGTTTTCCAGGACTGTGGTCGAGTCCTGATCGAAAGGAGGAGTTGTGGTTTTAGTCTCTGTGACACTAGAGGAAGTTGTAGGTTCTGCTTGTGGTCCTGAGGTGGAAGTAGGCAGCTTGTCGTTTGGGCCAACTGTAGGTGTGGGTTGAGGGACAGTAGGATATTCGTCCGAAGAGTTTGTAGGATCTCCTGCATCTCGAGGAATACAATCATGATAAATTTTATATTTGACATGTTTTTTTTAGCTGCAGCAGATCTTTCTATTACAGTAAATTCAAGCCAGCAGAGATTAGGCACAACATTTTAAAGGGGACAGGACATATTGTGACTTTTTTTTCTTGAATTATAATAGTTCTGTGGTCAATGCAAAACATGTCTACATCCACACAAAAGCCCTCTCACATAAAGAATTTTCTGCCGTTTTAATCTCGACAGTTTCAGTCCCTTCCAGGTTGAGCCGCTTCAGTGCTCTGTTACTTTAAGAAAACAAGTTGGAGCTGGCCACGCCCACCCATCCACCGCTCAGGCTGCTACAGGTTGAGAAGGTCAGATATCTGGGAGGGGCTCTGAGCAGAGCAGCTGCTCCTCCAGCAGCAGCTACCTCTCTTCCACATGTGAGGTGGTTCTATTAAAGTTTCCCAGTCTGTGAAATCACAAACGGACTTTTTGGAATGACTTGTTGTATGCACATAATTCCTAAAACTAAACCCGGACAGAAAATAAATAGACTTTGTTTTTCATGTCTGGAGTGTTTATAGAGGTAGTAGAGACCCACAAAGGACCGAAAAGGATGCTAAAGGGGAGTTTTGTATCACATGTCCTCTTTAGGATTCATACACAGACACTTTGAGGGTAACACTGGTTTAACTGGGTTGGGAAAATAAACGAAAATAATATAAAACTCAGAAAGGGTCATCTCTGGACATCACCTGGGTCTGCTGTTGTTTCTCCAGCTGTGGGATGAAGCGTAACGGGGTCACCTGAAGGAGCTACCTCTGTCTGAGAGAAAGCCCTCGCTGTTGTGAACACCGGAGTGTCTCCATCCAGAGTGGCTGTGGTTGGAATTTCGTCCAACAGCAGGTCAGCTGTAGATGGTCCATTACCACTGCTGTATTCGGGGGCTGGACTAATCTCCTGATCCTTCACTCCATCATTGGAAAAATCCTCATCCGGAGTGACTTTGCCGAACACATCTATTAGAAGAATGTTTTGTCATTGAGTGTAACGTTTGTGGAAACTTTTCTGCAGAGTTTAATAAAATAACGTTTTTGCTCACCGACGTTTGCATCATCTAGTAGGGATGGCGTTGGGATGTCTGGAAGATTTAAGATGCTGTCTGGAAATACGGCAAAATTGTGATAAATAAAAAGATGTGAGCACTAATAAACTTCAGGATTTTGTCTAAACTAATGTTAGGTTTAGAAACATCTTCTACTCTTAAATTAAAACAACAAAATGCTTAAATGCTATTTAAATGTGTGTTGTCGTTTTCCGACCACATATGCAGTTTCCTTTTCTGTGACTGAGCGTGATCACAGTCCTCCCACACACACTCCACTCATAACACTGCTTCCTAGTGTTTCATCTGGCTTCTGACACTAATGCACTTGGCTTGTCCTGCTGAGACTTGGCCCCAACTAGCAGCCAGTGGCCTTTGGAGTCACCCCTCTACATCGTTCTGCTCTTTACAAGACATAAACCCGATTAAATCCACCAAGTTCAGCTCATATTGTGATTGCAGATAAAGGAATTTTTAAAGAAAGAGATCAGTCACCTGCATTGTTTCCCTCGCTGAACAGAGGCTCTTCTGTTGCTTCTGTCAGAGTTGACTCTGCAGGTAATTTAGTATGAAATATTAGCTGGTTTGTATTGTATAATTACACATGTTTTAATAACCCTAAATGCAAAAAGCATTAAGATATGAGTCTTTTGTTTTCCAGAAATGATACCTTTGGGTTTGTTATGTATATTTTCACATGAACTAATCTTCACGGTTGCTGTCTCACTGGCTGCTCCACTGACTTCTGTAGTAATTACTGATACAGAAAAAAATCATCAATGAATCACTGCAGATTAGGGCATGCACCCCATGATCAGGCACATGCTTCTAGCAGACATGCAGGCTTTTAGTATCAAATTGGGATTTATTGATTCATTTGGGATTTGGTTTAGTTCTCAGTAACATCAGATTTTGAGTTTCTGGTGCTGCACTGACTGGGTTAGCATGCAGAAAAGACCCATCATTCCTAACAACACTGCTCATGGCTTACCGTCCGCATCACAATGAGCCGCGTAATCTGGACAGCATTGTTTAAAATTTGCGCATTCAGAGTCACAGCTGCATGATCGGCCTCTCCTGAAGGTTTCCCCACAGCGGCCCTGACATGAGTTTTCTGTTGGCACGACAGATCTGCACAGTTAGATTACATTTATACATCTAAACTGTCTTAAGTACAAGTTAACATCTTCAAAAGTTCTATTTGACAATGCTTTCTTGCATTTAGAGAAGTATTTAAATGATCCCGAATCTTATTAATGTCGAGACTTTTTGAATGAAAACAAAATTAACCAGAAATCACTCAAAAATCCATCAAAACAACTTGAATTTTAGAGGGAGAAAATGCAATTAATCACATAAAATATCATTTCTGCCTTGTGCATAATAGATAACTCCTCACTTGTGGTGCACTGGGATTCATAGTCTTTGCAGCACTCATCATATGCCAAGCAGGTGTAGTCACACTGACACATGTGGCCTCTGTAGTACTCGGCACCACATCGTCCTCTGCAGCTTGCTGCAGGAAAAAGCAAAAAAAAGGAAAATGTGACAGAAAAATGCAGAAATATTATAACTGCTGTCAGCTGTTTCTGCTCGAGAACACGGGCAGCTGAAGGGAACCAGACATCGATTTCTGGGGCAGTGACAAATACAAATGTCGACACAGGTTTTCCCTCTGGTGAATAATCACTCACAGAACAAACACTGGGAAGAACAACAAACATTTGACAGATTCCACAAAACAACTCGTGGCAAACAAAATTATGAAATGTTCAAGAATAAGATTTGTTTAAACAATTTCTAGATGAAATACAAATTAACTTACTCTGGGAGGAACCAAATTTCAAAGCACAAGTCAGCAAAACGACAGCACAAATCAGTTTTCGAGCCATCGCGTGGTAAACCTGGATGTAAGAAACAGCAAAAGAGACCAAGAAGATTGATTCAGTGCATGAAAGAAAACCAGGTGGAAACACAGAGGAACCTACCTGATCTGAGCTCCTCTCTGATGAATCCGTCTCTCGCTCTGCTTTTAAAGAAGTCACAGACCCTGACCCTGCTGTTAATCGGTGGACTTCTTCTAATTGGGAGTGAGATGATCTCATTGGATGTAGGGAGGGCCCTGCAGTCCAGACTTCAGGATTTGCCACAAACAGCTGGAAGCACATCAACACACACCGGTGCCAGGCAGACGGCTGACTTCACACACTTCTGAGCAGTCGGGGCGTTTGCTGCTCAGTCATTAGTCAGAGAACGGGACACTTTCTCATCCTTCCAGACTGCTCAGGTTTGTCAAATCAGTGTGTGGGAAGTCAAATAACTCGACAACAAATGGGGAAATTACATGACTTTTAAAATATGAATGATTTATTTACATCCTCAACTCCTGCTCATTCTAAAATCCACAGAACACATGAGTCCTGGGTAAATATTTACTCAATGTGTGTTGTTTTTGGTTTATGAACAATTAGTTTATCTTTTAAATCAGACAACAGCTGGAATCATATGTGGACACTCCCAAAATAAATGGAAACGCTAGAAATATGGTACCATTCTAATACAGTTTCTATGGTAATAAAAACATGACCTCACAATGTGATTTTCCAAGAGCTGATCTTATTGTTCCTGTATGTTATTTTAGTAATTAGTCGTGGTTTGGAGACGTGAATGGTCATCTTTCTGATGTAAACTGTGTTTTTCTGTCCTTTTGATCCAGATTTACCCACAAAGCCCAACGGGAGGGGTCTGACCTTTGACATTTGGGCCGTGAGATGATCCACCGTTGTCGTACTCGTTTTGTCGAAGGGATTGGTGTCATGGTCCAATTAGAGGAGACGTGTCAGTCAGTGTCAAAGCGATAAAGATAACGGGGTTTGGCTGAAACGACTGCATCGATAAAACAGCTTGAAGGGAAAATCTTTTTTAAGTTTTAAAGCATGAAAAGCGTTTTCTTATGTTTGAAAATAGAACTCAAGCCTTAAAATTCTGAATGTCTTTGGTGTCAGTGCGCCTCCTTGTGTCCACAGCAATCGGCGCTGCTCTGCAATAAACAGGCATCAGTGTGACTGATTACAGGGATAATCTAATTAAGGTGTGACCGAAGGTGATGCAGCGTGGGAGCAGCTTTCCTTTCCTAATGACACGAACCCTTTTCTGAAAGCTCAATGCGTTCTCATGTTGATTTTTGTCATTTTACCTCACTTTCATCTCTGAGCAGCAAGTGCATCCTTTCACTCTCTCCTTAAATGATTTGCAGATACGTGAGATGTTGCTAAATATGATCTGAAATTTGAGAAATTTGCCGCAAACCCCTGGCAGATGATGGGTAAAATGGGCTGTTATTGTCTTCCGAACATTCATGCAGGTATGCTCAAATGCACGCTCAAAATTACCAATGACCTCTTTTGCACACCTGACAGTCTGCATTTAACAGATTATCTTATGATTTAGAGCCCGCAAGAGAAAAAAACTGTTGCCTCAAGCTCTTGTGTATTCTGATGCTATAATTATTTAAGGACTTTCATTAGGACCTAGCACTGGTGCTAGAGTTACTTTTATTTTTATATTTTAGAATTACTATTATAGACATATTTTTTACCATTCCTTTTTAAGCATTTGGTTATTATTTTTAATCAATATTTGGGGACACTAGATGACTTTTTTTTTCTCCAATTCAAGCTTCACCTTATTTTGACAAAGATTTAGACTATTTTGTATTTTCTTGGCTCACTTCTTGATTTCCTTGCAAGTTGACTGAGAAACAAACACCTGAAACAGAAGGATGTGCAGAGAAAGGCAGCGGTATGAGAGAGAAGAGGCGTTTATTATCACAGATGGGTGCCATGCACACTTGATCCTCAGTAAGATTAGAGGAGTTCTGAGGGGGGAAAGTGGGCAAGCTTCTCTGGATCCAAACTATCAGAAAGCCACAGAGATGAATCTTTTGTCTTGTTGGCTCCTATAATTAACCAGCCAGTACAAATAAACACTAAACTGATCTGTAAGCCCCAATAAAAGAGGCTAAATGTTTAATGGGCAGCAGCTTCCTGCAAAAGATGTGCAACCTCAAGTTGAAATCAAAGCAGGAAGCCTAGAATAAGCATAGCTCTAGTATGTTCCAGTTGTTTTAAGTTTAAATTAAATGTGATTAAAACATTGTTTTTGAAAACGAGCTGAAGTAATATAACACTTGTCAAATTACTTTTTGGGTATTCATCTAATAAAAGAGAACATGATCAAAAACAACCTTAAGGGGGAGACAAATGAGAGATTATCAAGAGTGATGAAGGCTAAATAGGAAACACCAACATGTGGCAGCAAATGATGGGTAATTAAATTCAACAGCTCATCATTTCATTTTTGAGATTTCATTTAGGATTAAAGGCTCAAATAATTATCCCTCATTTAATTTGTGTTTGCAGATGGAGGGAAGAGACGCAGCCAATGCTGGCAAAGCTAAAACCCTAAACATGCATTTCAGCCTTCTTTAGGTCCTTTTACACTTTCCATGATGTTTTATTATGTTTTTGTTTATTGTATGTAGCTATTATTTTTTTAACTCTAACATTTGAAAGCTTATTTTTTCACGAAACTGTGGTCATGTTTTTATTCCTGTCAGTAACTAACTTCAAATCTGAAGCCAGAAGAGATGATGAAGATCTAACCATCACCATTACTGAACAGGAAATGTACAGCGACCATGCAAAGTGGCACTTTTGACACTCTTCTGCTGCACGACTGATGAGGAAATCAGGCATTGAGTGCTTCCAACAGAGCGCCCTCACTTCTCATGTGTGCAATATGCTAATAGCACCTGGGAGGACAAGTAAAGTCATGAGGCTCATTTAGTGTCAAAACACAAAATGCATTTTTGTTTGAATTTCACGGTGTCTAATAGAAATTAATCTGTGAGCTTTTGCATTAACAGTTTTAATGATGCACTCTCTAGCAGATACTCAAATTTTGCAAATTTTAAAGGAAGTTTCAGTTTCCTCTGAACTATTTTCAGTTGCAACAAACGTCAGAGCAATAACTGAGCAAAGTGAAACCGAACCTGGCTGCTCTGGAGCCTTTGGAGGTGGTTGTGAAAAGAAGAATATTGCACAAGCTGCTCAACATAATGAGTAGCAGCACAACGCCTCTGCACAACATGTTGGTTTAGGCACCATACTTGTTTAGTTAAAGGCTTTTCCTTCCCCACTTCAATAAGAACCAGCACAGGAGGTGGTTCCTGTGATGGAGACAATGACTTTGGATCAACAAAGGCAACTTTATGTGTGTGACTGTGATGCATGTGATTTTTTACGTTTTAACCCTGTGGTAGACGATGTTTTGAAATTAGGACATTAACACATACCAGTTGTGAATTTTTAAGGTGGTAACAATGTTAAGGACAATCACTAGACTTGTGGCTGTTGTCCATGCTTTCGTTATTGCTATTATTTTATGACACGAAAGCAAACAAACATGTATGATAAAAATAACTGAACATTTTAAAATTAGTTTAGCCCTCCATCCCATTTCCTTTGAACAAAAGCATTCCAAGACAGCTTCTTTCCCCCCAAAAATAAGGACAATAAATAAACGGTTGCTGCAAGAAATCTCTTTGAACATCATGGATCATTAGTGCATATGTATGCTATATTTATATCTACTTTTTCTTTTTTCTTAGATGTGTTCTTTATCTGTATGCCCAAAATAGACCATTTGATTGCCTTCAAATTTAATTGTGTTCTCAATAAATTAAAGCTTTCTAATTATGATATTCATCACTGTTTGAAAATGAATCTTCAATTTGAGCTGTTTTACAATATCCTTCAAAATATTATAAGATATATGCATTCTTATTACATTTTCAGGGTATTGAGCTAAGCTTCACAATGTGTGATTATTTTTCAAGCACCTCAATATTTATAATAAATTTCAAAATTGTAATTAAAATGGACGAGTAACTGTTATATTTAGTTTAAATGTGTGATTTATTGACAAATAACACTACCACTCACATCCTTGGTGTCATACTTTTGTTCCAAAAGTATCATTGGCTGATTTTCTAACTGTGGTAACCATTGTCCAATCATATGCGAGTTGTATACAATTTTCAGCCCGCCTTCGAGTGGTTGCTATGTCTACTACGCGTCTCTGTATAACTGACAGGCTGGGTAGCCAATCAGCATTGAGCTGGGCGGGCGCACGCGCTCACACTGGCAACTGTCTCATGAATTTGTACTACTATGATCAAACCGTACCGAGAGAGGTCGAGTGTTGGACCGAAGCAGCCCAAAGTCGGGATGGAAAATGAACGTTACGCTAACTGAACACAGGTAAGGAAAGAGTTCCTCGTCTTGTTCCGTTCTCTTTACAGTGACTAATATTGAGAAGTGTCCGTGAAAGTACCCGCTAATTACGCTACGGTTTTTAAAATAGCATTAGTACACGCGCTTGTTTGACGTTTGAACGGAGGGAAATTTCGCTAACCCACAAAAGAAAAACAAAAACTAGACTAACATGGTCATGTATGGGTTTGAGATGCATAAAAGCGGACTCGTTTATTTTCTGTGTGTCTGGTGGGGTGAAAATATCATTTTGGTCAAGGTGGCTCTCAGTTTTGTTGTCAACCGGCATGACGAATGTGTTGTCCCACTGTCTGACGCTGCTTTCCTTTTATTTATTGTGAGATATTTATATTTCAAGCTTTTTACATAACTTACGAGTTATTTCTAATGTTGAAAGTTAGTTATTTTGAATTCACATAATTGTTATTTATGTGTTTTTAATATGAGCGCTGTGTTTGAAAGCTTATGTTAATAAGATTAATTAATATCGAAATGCTAGAAAATAGACTTTTAGGAAAGGTCAGAGTGGTACAGGTTAAACAAAAGCTTATTTACGTTCATACCGTCTAGAATTGAAATTTCAATACCTTTTTAATTTCAGTTTATTGTTCCTTTTAGTTTACTAAGGCAGCCACAGCTTTAAATGTGTCCTCATTAGTTTTTGTCATAAATCTCAGTCAAGTTCCTTTAAACTACTCTGTCAGAAACATAAAAATGAAACTTTACAAGAAATTTTAATAAATATGAACAAGAAATAATATTTTAAACAATATTTTTTTCTATATGAAAGTAAAAATTTACCTGCATATCATTTCATCTCACACTGACACACCTCCTCCATATTGCTCAATTGAAACTTTTTCCTGTCTGAAAGTAGAGTAACATCAACTCTTAAATCAAGTCTGTCCATCACGCTTGTGCCAAACTACTCATTAGCTGATTTTACTGTTGTAATTACTGATTTATTTTTATTTTTGAATCACGTTTCTTTCATCAGTTTAACAAGGTTAATCACTGGTTGCAAAAAAAAAAACAAAAACTGGTGGGGAGTTTCCCTTTGAATGTTTGTTAGATGCTTATTTTTCAGTATGACTTACAAGTAAATTTTCCAACAGCTATAGGATAAACTAGTGTTTGCATAATGACACTGTGCTCAGCTACCTTCTTGAGCAGAAGTTGTTTTTCTGCTGTTTCTGCTTTTCTCCCTCTGTGTCTTAAAGCAAATGTCACAAGTTAAGATCTGCTGTGTCTTGATACCAAAAGGCCAAACAACACTCTCCTTGTGCCTTGACTTCTGCCAGGGAGAAACATTTTCAATTCAATTCAAGTTTATTTATATAGCGCCAAATCACGACAAGAGTCGTCTCAAGGCACTTCACATAATAAACATTCCAAT